GGCTTAGGAAGAGGGGTGGGTGGGGCTTAGGAAGAGGGGTGGGTGGGACTTAGGAAGATGAGTGGGCGGAGCTTAGGAAGAGGGGTGGATGGAGAAGAAAACCTAGGGGGAGTGACGTGAAGTTGGTGACTTGGGGAACAGGAGCCAGGGACGAGGAGGTGAGGCGAGCATCCCTCGTTCATAAATACTTACTGAGCGCCCGCTGGGAACGAGGGCTCGTGCTGGGCTCTGGGAACACAAGAGATGAATAAGCCCATGGACTTCTCTTCAAAGAACACAGGGTCCTGGAGGGGTGGCAGACAGGGACGGGATAATGACAACACGGTGTGCGGCTTGCAATCCTGGGGGTGGCGCGGGCATTGTGGGAGCGCCAGCAGGAGTCACTGTCTGGGCCAAGACATTTCGGGTTGCAGGGAGCAGAGACTCATTCAACTTTCCTGAGGGAAAAGGGGGTTTATTGGCAAGATAAACACGCACAGCAGCCCAGACGCCAGGAATTGAGGCCAATCTCTTTCTGATTGTGTCCCTCTTACTCTCTCGGTCCCTGCCTCTCCCCCCCCCACCCCGCCCCTTCCCGTCTACCACCCATCCCCCCGCCCCCAATCTCGCAGCCAACGTCTTCCCAAAGAAAGAATTCCATTGGCCCCAATCAGCCTTCCAAACGAGGCTGCACAGTCACGGGTCTGCGTATGGAGTCAGGGAGGTTTCCAAGGCGAGGAGCTCTCTGAGCTGAGACCTGACAGTTGAATTGCTCAACTCACTCATTCATTGAAAAGCCCTTTACTGCGTAGTCTTCTGTGTGCCAAGCACTGCCTTAGACACAAGAGTACATAGTATTATTAGAATAAGGTCCCCGCTCTCATAGAGCTTACCAGCTCATAGCAGAGGCAAAAACAGCGAACAGACAAGACAAGGAAGAAAACATACCAGCAGGTGATGAAACAGGTAGAACGTGATAAGAAATGCCCAGGATTCCAAGAGCGGCTCGGAGTTCACCAGAAAATAGTATTCCAGGCAGAAAGATCAGCATCGTACAAAGGCCCAGAAGGGAGAAAAACTCAGGCAGGTGGCTGGACCCACAATAGCTCAGGGGGGATGAAGGCGGGAGAATTAGGGGTTGGGGGTGATGAGGCTGGGGAGGTAGAGGGGGGCCAGGCCATAAGGGCCTTGAATGCCAGGTTGAGAGGCTGGACTCTGTTCTGGAGCACCGGGGAGCCATGGGGCAGGGGTCCAGGAAGCCTGGGGCGATGGGGAGGAGGGATGAGGGGGGCAGGGAGGTGGCACTTGGGGACTCATGGCCTGGGCAGGGGGAGCAGGGGGCGTGAGGATGGCCACTGAGGGTCTGGTGCAGTGACCAAGGCCCTGTGGCAGGCGTTCACGGTACAGGTACCATTGCTTAGTGAACGGGGAGTCCCGAGACCCTCTGGGGCTTCCCCCAGAGGAAGGGACACTTGAGCTGAATCTTGAAGACATAAGAATCAATCAGGGTGAGAAGGGACAGAAGAAACATTTTCCAGGCAGAGAGCACGGCACCTACAATGGTCTAGAGATAGGAAGCCACTTGATACGTTTGGGGGACACTTTGTTGTTGTTGTTGTTGTTAAATTTATTCCTGAGAGAGAGAGCATGAGCAGGGGTGGGGCAGAGAAAAAAGGGAGAGAAAGAATCCCAAGCAGGCTCCTCACTGCCAGTGCAGAGCCCAGACTCAGGGCTCGAACCCACGAACTGCGAGATCATGACCTGAGCCGAAATCAAGAGTCAGACACTTCACCGACAGAGCCACCCAGGCCCCCCTGGGGGACACTTTGCATTCAGTGTTAGTGAGGCACAAAAAGGGCTCAAGGCAGAAAGAATTGGAGGGTAGGAAGGGTTCAGAGATGCGGCTGCACAGGCAGGTGGGGCCAAAACACACAGGGTCTCTAAGAGGACCTCAAACTCAGGCGGAGGGTCTGGGACCTTGTTCAGGGGGCACTGGGCAGTGAGCAGAGAGTACCGAACAAAGAAAAAGAAGATTTGGGTGTTCGGGATCTGGGGGGAGAGGCTCCAGCCAGGGGCTGAGGCTGGTCCATAGAAGGGATTTTTCTCTGCCTTCACCCGCCTAGGGCCAGTCCAGGTACCCACATGTCCCCTCCCTTCCTCCTGGGCAGGTACTTCATGAATATTACCTGGGACAACCGGGATTACTCCTTCAATGAGGATGGCTTCTTGGTGAACCCCTCTCTGGTTGTCATCTCCCTCACCAGAGATAGGACCTGGGAGGTGGTGAGTCCCAGCCCCAACCTCAGGCATGGGAGAGGGTCCAGACTCCTGGGCACTGAGGGAGAGGGCGTGGGGACCCAGACGCCTGGGTCCTGGCAGAGAGAAGGGCTGAGGTCCTGGACTCTGGCCTCTGAGGGAGGGAGGAGCCTGGACTTTTAGGTCCTGGCAGGGGGTGGGGGGGGTGGGGAGTGGGAGCCTAGACCTGTGGATTCTCATGGGGCCCAGACTCCTGCATCTAAGGGAGAAGGAGCTGGGAGCCCGCGCTCTGAGGAAGGAGGGCCGTGATGGGCAGAACATTCTGGAACGTACCCTCCACCCCCGGAAGGAAGCCTGAGTCCCCTTCTCTTGGCCAAGGTGGGCAGCTGGGAGCAGCAGACTCTCCGCCTCAAGTACCCGCTGTGGTCCCGCTACGGCCGCTTCCTGCAGCCTGTGGATGACACACAGCACCTCACCGTGGCCACGCTGGAGGAGAGGCCCTTTGTCATTGTGGAGCCCGCCGACCCCATTAGTGGCACTTGCATCCGAGACTCCGTGCCCTGCCGGAGCCAGCTCAACCGCACCCACAGGTGACAGCCCGATCTCCAGGAGTTCCAGTTTCAAACTCCCTTGAAGTCCGGCAGCCCTGGCCCCAGCCCCCTCCTCCCTTGGCACTCAGCCCAGTCACCTTGGACCAGTCACGGAACTCCTCCGAGCCTCAGTTTCCCCAGAAAGCGCTAGCCATAGTTTTAGCTGCTGCTTGGCTCTCCCTCCATACCCTCACCCCACGGGGGAGTCTGAAGTGGGGGGTCCCCAGCATCCCCAAGCCTGCTCGCTCCCCCGCAGCCCTCCCCCGGACGCCCCCCGCCCGGAAAAGCGGTGCTGCAAGGGCTTCTGCATCGACATCCTGAAGCGGCTGGCGCAGACCATCGGCTTCAGCTACGACCTCTACCTGGTCACCAACGGCAAGCACGGAAAGAAGATCGACGGCGTCTGGAACGGCATGATCGGCGAGGTGAGGCGGGATGCGGTCCGGGGAGGAGCCGGGCTGGGGCGGGGCCAAGGCGCCAGAGCCCTGGGGGCGGGGGGGCGTGGCCCGAAGGGGGGGAAGCCGGGCTCGGAAGGGGCGGGGCCGGCCCCCCCCGAAGACCCGCCTCGGCCGCGGGGCGGGGCCACGGGGACGAACGCGAGACGGCGAAAGGGGCGGGGCTAGGAGGGCGGCACCCTGAAAGAAGGGGGCGGGGCCGAGGGGGACGCCGCCCAAATCCGGAGAGCGGGTTCTCGGAGCCTCACGGGGCCTGGGGCTACCTCCTCCCACTCCCGTTCCCCGCCTCTCCCCTCGCCTTTCGTGCCCCACTCTGCGTCCCCCTCATCCACTCTCCTAACCCTCTCTGTCCCCCTGTCTCTGGTCTCCTGGGGCCGGGCTTGCGCACCATCCTCCTCTATGTGCTTGAGCCAGCCGGGTTCCTTCACCCCCTTCCTCGCCCTCACCCCAGGTGTTCTACCAGCGCGCCGACATGGCCATCGGCTCCCTCACCATCAACGAGGAGCGCTCCGAGATCGTGGACTTCTCTGTCCCCTTCGTGGAGACGGGCATCAGTGTGATGGTGGCACGCAGCAATGGCACCGTGTCCCCCTCGGCCTTCCTCGGTGAGCCCGGGGCCCTGGGACGGCAACACGGGGGCAGCTGCGTGCCCGGGTCCCAACCTGGTGTTGCCTGTCCCCGCGGTGTGACTGGCCAAGTTGGCATGGCTTCTGAGCTTCGGTTTCCCAGTCTGTAAAACGGGAGAAGCCGTCTTACCACGAGGCCCAGGACACTGGAGCTTCAGGAACCTTCTCGGGCACATTCTCTTCAAGGCCCTGCGCCTTGCATTCTTGGAGTCATAATTCTGTATGGTTTTTTTCTTAAAGACACCCTTCCAAATTGTATAAGCTTCAGGCCCCACAAGCCCCAAGTCTTCCCCTGTATATGAGATAAGGAAAAGAGATTAGCTTGGTAATGGCACATAGTAAGCGCTCGATTCACTTATCGGTGTTCACCGAGTACCTATCATGTGCCGGGCTCCGGGGCTGCACGCAAATCCCTGTCCTCTAAGAGCTCTTGGCCTCGTGGGGAAGACAGACAATAATCTCTTAAACGGATCCATGGGACGAAATCACTGCAGGTGATGATGAAGAGGATGAGAAACTAAGCCAGGGGAAGAGTTGGAGAGGTACCGGGTCGGTGCCATCAGGGGAGGGCAGGAGGGCCCCTTTAGGGAGGTGACTCGGTCCTGTGGAGATCTGGCTGGAGGGCGGTTCCAGGCAGGGGGAGCAGCGGGCAAAGACCCCCAAGGTGGGAACGCGTGTGGAGCGTTTGGGAAACGGAGCGAAGCCTGTGTGGCTGGAGGTGGCCGTGAGAGGGTGGGAGGCGAGGACCGAGAGGGAACAGAGTGGATGATGCAGGGGCCTTGGTGGCTCTGGTAGGAGAGTGGGGTTTCACTCTTGCTGCGACGGCCAAGGTTTTAACTATAGGTGGTGGGGGAGGGGGGCATATGATCAGATCTAGGCTTATAAAACATCCCACTGGAGGCCCTGTGGAGGCCGGAGGCCCCCGGGAAGGCAGAGGTCCGTGCAGAGCGGTGGTGGGTGTGGGATAAGAAGATGACAGTGAGGGTGAGACAAGGAAGGAACCAGTCCTGGGATGCGATTGGGAAGCTGACACCCAGCGGGTTGGTGGCCTTGAGGCGTACCGGGTCGGGATCTCACTGACCGAACTGGGAGACAACAGCAAGAAAAGTGCACATCAGGCCAAGGGCAGCAGGGCACGTCAGTTCTCTCTTGCTCTCTGAAGTCTGGGCAAAGCTCCTGGGAGCAGAAAGGCCGGGAGACAGCACAGCTCTTCCTTTGTGTTTCGTTTCTGTGTATTCCCCCCCCCCCCCCGACAACATCTCCGTGGCCTTCTCTTTGCACCAAGGTCCCTGCGGGTACACCCTGAGAGGCACATGGGGCCCCTGCTTCAGCAGGGAAGTGACAAGGTCGTACTTGTGCGCCACCACGTTGCCCAGCGGAGGCAACAAGCGTTCCCGGATGCCGCAGTGACAGTCCGGGTGGTGACCCTGCTGTGACAGGGGCAGTGCTGGCCGCTTGCGCTTGGCCCAGGGAGGTCAGATCACCTGGTAGGAATCTCGGGGAAGTGGCGATTTGGGTTTATTGTCAGTGAAACTTCCCGGAGGCGGTGTGAGGAGGAGACACACGGATGCGAGTTTGTCTAGTAGGTAGGTCAGGGTGGTGCCCCTGTCAGGGGAGCGGTGGAGACAAGGCAGAGAGGGCGAGGCTCATTCTGGAACTGTGAGTTCTGGCTGGTTAAAGCAGTGGGTTCTTGAGAGAGTGATCATGCCGGAAAGGAGCGTGGAAGCGAGGCTGAGGGGCGGTGACTTTGTCACGGAGGCACCGGGGAGCCACAGAGGGCTATGGGCAGGGGGGAGGCCAGGTCACCTCTGGGTGCAGAAGGATCCTCTAGGGCTGCAGGGGCCGGGGAGGGGGGTGGCGGCTGGAGAGGGGAGATGGTCCAGGGCAGAGAATGAGGTCTGAGCTTGTTGGCTGAGAGAGTGGAGAGGGGGGCCGAGTTGGGGGGCAGAAGTCGGGGGGACAGGCTGTGGCTGGTGAGGGGGAGGGGGGAAGGGTGTGCAGCTGGCAAATGGCGGGGGTTGGACTGGATGGATGGCGGGGCTCCCAGGATGGGGGGCCTGGGCATTGGCCTCGGTGTGAAACCTGGTGGGTGGCCAGGTGGAGACTCGAGGCTCAGGAAACAGTTTAGGAGACCGTTTATATTTGGTGGCAGAAACCGCAGAAGCGGTTGAGGTGGCGGTCTTTGAGAGACACTGTCTCCCAGGGGTCTGGATGGGCGCTGAGACGGTCCCTGAGATGAAGAGCCTGGGCAGGGGACAGAGCAGGACAGGGTCAGATCTCTGATGCACCATGTTCTCACGTCTGTGGTCCCCCAGTCCTCGGCTTGGCCAAGTCATGACCCCACACCCCCTTGCCCCCAGAGCCCTACAGCCCTGCCGTGTGGGTGATGATGTTCGTCATGTGCCTCACTGTGGTCGCCGTGACCGTTTTCATCTTCGAGTACCTCAGTCCCGTCGGCTACAACCGCAGCCTGGCCACGGGCAAGCGTGAGTCCCCTTCCTCCATCACCTCCGAGCACCCGGACCGCAGATGGAACTACATTTCCCAGCAGCCCCTGGGGAGGGGGGGGGTAGAGTGGTGGCCTCTGGAGGTGCCAAGAGGCCTTGGGGGCCGCTGGGAATTGTAGTTCCTTCTGCTCCCTCATGGAGTAGAAGGGATTTGGGGTCCATGGTCCCTTCCTGGCCCCTTGCAGGCCCTGGAGGCTCAACCTTCACCATTGGGAAATCCATCTGGCTGCTCTGGGCCCTGGTGTTTAATAACTCGGTGCCCGTGGAGAACCCCCGGGGGACCACCAGCAAAATCATGGTGCTGGTGTGGGCCTTCTTCGCTGTCATCTTCCTCGCCAGCTACACAGCCAACCTGGCCGCCTTCATGATCCAGGAGGAGTATGTGGACACCGTGTCTGGGCTCAGTGACCGAAAGGTGTGTGGCGGGG